CAAACAACTTTTGTATTTAATGATAATTATTTAGTTTTTTCTTGAACTTGCACACATTTAGTTTAACTGTAAATTAAATTCCATTGTAAACTTATAATCCTATCATGGATGTACTTAAACTTTAGAAATATTATCTTGTAACTATCTGTTAATTTAGTTGTTACTTTTGGGCACTCGTTGTCTTTTTTTTCTTAGTTACTATTTTTGGTTAGAAGTGATATTTTGTGCCAAATAAATAGAAAAAAAAATGTAGAGCTAGGTTTACTCATCATCATCATCATCATCATCAACAGCCCTTTACAGTCCACTGCTGGACTATGAGCCTCCTCCACTATAGTGGAGGGTTTTGCCATAATCTCCACGCTTGGCAGGCGGGTTGGAGATCGCAGTTTTAAAGATTGATGTTTTTCAGAGAGCGCTGCTGCCCATTCTCTGTTTGATGTGTAGNTATCAATCAATTTAAAGCAGCAGTTGCAGTTAGCCTTACTAGAGACTACTAAAAATCCACACTAACCATCAGAAAAACAAAAGCCTCCTTTCTGCAGTCAGATAAAAATAGATGACCGGACACGAACAGCCGATAACCCTCTCAATGCAGGAATAAACGCGAATTCATCGCATCAACCCCGCGCGTGCCGCGTGCGTTTGATTGATAAGCCTTATCGCCCGGGGTCTCGCAGACCGGGGTCTCAGAGACCGGGGTACAACACCCCACCTCAGAAGCGGGACCTTATCGGCAAGGGGAGGAAATGTATCTGGAAAATATTTCTTGTTTGACGGCGCAAAATATTGGGAGAGTAACCGTAAATTCTGCTAAGTTTGTTTCGTTTGGGGTGCACTGAAAGTAGAGAATCAATTCGGTTTAGTTTTAGTTAATGAGCATTTTTAATGAAGAATACTTTTCAACGCAATATTTGATAAGTTTTGCTGTAGATATCTCAGAACCTATGATTTATCACAGATTTAGTAATAACTAATGAAGAATTTAATAGTTCCTTAATGTAGAAAAAAAGGAAAAAACATGGTGCTTTCTTTTACTATGCAAGTTCAGATGCCTTTGATGGATCAAAGGATACTTAGCATAAAAAATATTGTAGAACGCAATAGTTGCACAATCCCGCATTAACCGCGTAAGCTTCTTAACCCTCCGAGTTCGGGCGGGTCTAATCTACCCGTGCGTGGGGTTTAGCTCAGCTAGTGGAAACAATACCTTGTTTGCCATATCTGTATCATTTCGCTCACTGAGCTTTTGGGGGTGAAAGATATATCGCTTTTGAAATTTCCGATTAGGAAAAATTGAGTGTTTTAGGCAACTGGTGGGGTGGGGGTTGTGCAAAACGAATACAATTTGGCACAGACAATGAAATTATGATGAAGCTTTTGTAGCTTTTAGCGTAGTACTTTGTAATAAACGAAGCTAAAATTGTAATTTCAACCTGACTCTATCTTTAAAAATATGTTAGCGCAATGCACAAAAAAATGATTTTCTGTTTGGGGCATTCTTTTTTTTCGTTAAAATTTGGCACCTTTAGTCCTATTATAAGATAATTATATCCTATTCAACATTTAACACTCCTCTTACGCAATGCAAGACGAATTTCATTTCCAAAACAAGATCACTACACTCCGGTCGATTGAGCCCCGCAAGTTTATTTGGCCAAGTTATTCCACTCTAACAATGCCTAAACACAATTATGACGAGCAAACACGAGCGGCGCCGCGGGCGAGCACATGTTGCACAACCCGCGGTGTTGTTTTTTTGCATTTGAAAAACATCTGATATTATGTGCCCAGTTTTAATTTGAGTTGTATTTTTGAATGAGTTTGCAATAGGGTTAAGATTTTTTTTAGTTTGATGTTTGTGATAAAAAAAAATGCCTGTTTTATGCTCAGAAAGATATAAAACCACAATTTCTTGCTTATTTGACATAAAATCATCGATATAAAATTATTATAATTGCTAACGATACCTATAATTGTGATATCTACAACATAAATAAACTTGATCGTTCATAAGTACGAGTATGTCAGAACTGTACCTCAAATTCTCTCAATAGGTTTATCGCTCTCATTAGTGAATATTATTACTCGATATTGACATTTTATTTGTAATTTATTTTACGACCAACGTGATTAAATAGATCACCTTAATGCTCACAGATACATTTTCGAATCATCAAACCAGCGAACCACAAATACTGTGAACACAATTTGAATTTAAAAATATTACAAAGTAAGCTGAAAATGTCACCAGGCAATAGGTTGTCCCATTCATTACAACTAACATATTAACTGCTAATCAAGCTATAATTAAGTTAGTTTTATAAAGTTCAAACACGCATTAAGTTATTTGTATCTCTACTCCAGTTGTTTGACACGCCATATACGTCTCCATAACATTCCCATACAAATGCGAGTACACAGTTAACTTGTGTTAAGCTGTTTATCTATTTAATGATATTCAAAGCCGTAAAAGATACAGTAGCACAAACTGAATACATTAACATGGTACAAGTCACTAAAACTAGATATACCGGAACTCAATACTTATTGACATAAAGTTACAATGGTCTGGTTTTGCAACATACTTGTTTTTGTCTGGACGTTGGTCTTTTTTGTACGGCGGACACTGCAGGGTTAAATATTTTATAACTGTTTGTCTAGATTTTTTTTTAAAATAGAGCGAACACTCTTTTTTATAAGTAGTAAAACAGCCAGTGCTGACCCTATTCTAATTTCAAACATAGGTATGACGTTAAAAAGACATTAGGAGTCTACTGTTTGAAAAGTTTTTACATAGTAAATTAAGAGAAAGGGCTACGCCCACTCTAACCTTTCTCAAAAATCATAATAAGGGGCTGTAATATCTAACCCCTAATCAAAATATTTGTACTACTGCTTTGAAAAGAACTCCTATCACTCACGACTCCATCTCACAATCACTCGCTTTTTTTATATCACGAGGCACTGCCGTTTACAAAGCCACGAGAAGAAATAAAAAAGTTGTCTATGCCACTACCGCGTGGAGACGTGGCTAATGTGTAATGCGGTTGGCTTTTTGTCCAACGCCTTTGCCTTATTCTTCTTTTTTTCACTCGGATTCTGTTACGGTTCGTATTGATCGAAAAATCGGATTTCAAAATGGGTGCTCCGAGTTTTATTGTTGCCGCGATACGTTCTTAAACAATAAAAAACGCGTTTTAAACTGAATGCAATTCTCACATGTCACGTTCGGAAATTGAAGGAGACGTGGTCGTGTTTTAGAGAAGTAATTATTCGCTTTCGATTGGGTGCGGGCGAGGTGAGGGCAATAAAAGACCTAATTTATTTTTTCATATAGCAACATTGCATTGTATACGTGATGCGGTATATTGTGTATCGATCTTTGATTGAACTTACGTAAATAATGTTTGCGGACAAGAATGGGTAATTTCGATGTAATCTAGTTGCTGGTTGGGCGACATTGACCTGTTGTTAGTTACATGTTCCTATCTGTTTCCTTTCTAATTTGTAATTTTGTTATAATTCATTTTGTAACTGAATTACTTGGAATCAATGACTCTTTTGTGGTGGTGACCGTGTCTCATTGGTTTGTTAACCAATTGTTATGGTTTTACAACCAATATACATAGGTCCATATGACTAAACGGAGTTTTAAATTCAATATGCATTTTCGTAGTAACTACGAGAAAAATAAGCTACGAACGTAACATCGTAACGCTTTTTACTATCATTTCGAGTAAAGTTCTTTTTCTTAATAGGTACTCTTAAATTATAGGGGAGAGTTCGGTATATTGTACCGCCGGGTAAATTGTACCACCCTCATATTTCGGAAAGTATTTATTGAATGTCTGTAATTGATACACTCAGCGATACACAACTAAATTCAATTAATATCGGCCATGTGGTTTTTGCCGTGACAACGAACACGTGTGTTTTATTTTGAAAAGTATTTTTTCATTGTTTTCAAGTAAGTTTTGACAATGCATGTTTAGTTTGTAATTTGTTAAATTTAATCACAGGGTGTTTTTAATATATTATTTAGACGCGTAAATTAGTGTGGATTACAATTATTTGAAACATTTTTTGGTATTTATAAGCTATATTTTTTACCGATTTTTTTAAATCACTATCACCTAGTCGGCTAAATTGTACCACATCAAGTTGTATGGAACTTTACCAAAGGATTTTGAATTTTTTTTTAGTAAATCATATTTTGAAGTTATAATAGCGTAGTTATGTTTGACTAACAATAAATGAAAGCAAAAGACTGGCAAAGTAGATTAGATACAAGTGTGCGTTACAATAATTGGAATTACAAAACTTTTACTCAAACTTGTGATAACGTGTAAAACAATACCGATTGTCTATGTTATTAACTACTGTTCCTTTTCGTTTCCTAATTTGTTAAGAATGTATCGTATAATATTTTGCCATAGTTTTTTTATAGGCTTGAAATTTATAGAAATCCAATTTAGTCACCCTGTGGTACAAATTATCGAACCGGTTGGCTAAATTGGACCGAAGCTCTGAACTCGTATTTTGTGGAATTGTGCTAAATATACAACAATTATGTTGATTAATACCTATGAAATAGTAAGTTGAATAATTTCTCTTTAATTATATACTATGAACATTAGCAAAAACAAAAGAAAACTATATGTAAAATGGGATTGAAAAAACCTGGTCCAAATTACCGGACTCTCCCTTAAGTTTGTAATCCGGACATAAACAATAACTTACAGTATTATTGTACTTAATAATAATTTACAAGAAAAGTGTACCTCAGATTTTAATAATCAACCTATTTGGTGGTGCTTTTCTTTTGTATTTCTTGCGAATTTAAGAATACTGGCAACTGCCAAGAAAAAAGTCCGAAATTCTAATTTGATGTGTACGAAAAACAAAAGCAGTCAGGCAGTCTTTTCGAATTTCGAATTTGATATGAAAAACAAAAGCACTAAGTCGAGGTGGAAAAAACATTCAAAAATAGAACTCACAATGCGTTGGCGCCTTCCCCGCCAAGTAATCCTCCTTGCAGATAAACTTGTTGTCGTCTAGCACGTACAGTTCTTCGCCGGTCGACAGCTGCTTCCTGCAGACTAGGCAGGTGAAGCAGTTGAGGTGGAACACCTTCTCCCGCGCTTTGCGGACCAGGTCGGAGGGAGATATGCCGTGCCCGCAGCCGCTACATTTTGTGCCGTATCGCCTGTGGAGAGAATTCATTTTAGAATGTAATATGTCTACTCAGGTTTTACAAGAGATGTGAGGAGAACAACAGGGTATAAAATGCTGTAAATTATTTCATTAAGAAAATGTTTACCCCGGGTTTGCCACAAAAAGGCTGAGGCACCACTTAACTTTGACCGTAACTATAACGATAACCGGTGTTTTTTGTTGGGAGTTTGACAGATTTTTGACGTTTGTCAAAGTTAAAATAAGACGGTGCAACCCAGCCTATACAGCCTAAGTATTTATTTTAAAACTCAATGTAGAGTCACTATTTTACTGTCATCAAACGATGTTTGTAAATTTACAGTAGGTAAACGGTAATAAAAGCAGTTTATCACTCTATCACGTTGTTCTTATACTTATTCGTTTCATTCGCATATTTTTTTTACAAATAATAAGTAGTGTAACGAGACGAGTGTTTATTCTCTACCAAAAACAAAACAAAATCTAACAGCGTTTCTGATGCTCATAAATAAAAAACACATACATCTAACCGTCTAGAATCGACATACAGCAGTGCGCATCCATTTATCACCGAGACATTCATCATAATTAACATTCATCACTTTCAACAGTGCACAGATTAAAAATCACATCAAGCGGTTCGGCCAATGTTGGCATTAACGTTGGCTCACGTTGGTCTAATTGACCAATGTTCGGATGATGAGAACGGAACGACATGAGAATCTTATGCAAATGATCGGTGTAAATGTCCCGAAAAAGTTGATTACACGCGTTTGAGCCGAGAATATGCCAAGCGTGAGCTGATTTTAAGCTGAGAAATGCGTAGAGCTATTATTTTTTTTACTTTTAAGTTAGCCAAAATGCACAAGAACCTCACCTTGTTCAAATAGTTAATCAAATCTCATAACTACTTAATTCTAGGCAGAATAAGTAAGTAGGTGATGATAGTTTTTGGAAAATTTCTAAAATATCAAAGTAGGTACCATCACAACTTGGTAGCCATCCAGTTTTGGCCCCTGGTTGAACTTAATTTATTGCTAATTATCTCTAGAATAACACCTTTCAAGAAATAGGTTGAGATTTCCTATGATACAGTATTTTATATTATGATAATGTCCTTTGAAAGTTGAACTTTGAAAGGCAATACCGTCATCTACCTAACGATAAAGTTTCCAACAACCACGGGCCCCTAAATTTAATACCAGTACCTACCAGTAGCGTCCAATATTAATGTTAATCTCCCGAATTCAGATTCTTGAACATTTCGGCAACTTTAAACGTTTACGATGGATCGCCGTGTTTGTAGGTCAGTGTCAATCACCGCGCCACCCGTGGCCGGCAATGGAAACGATTTCTATCGATACTGATCACCCGGTTAATCGCTACCGACCGCAGTTTCACTAGTCAAGGCACTGATGAAGACAAGATTGGCTCTTAAATCAAGAAGGTGTACAGCTACAGCTTAACTTGTTTGTTACGCCGCCAAGAATATAGCTACATATACGGAGCTATTTTGACTACAAAAACTAGGACTTTGACATAGGTTAGAACCCAACTTCTTAGTATTAAAGTCGATTCGTTTCGAAATAGATGGAAGAAAGAATGATAAGAGGATAATGATGATAGTTATCTATGATTAAATAAAATTAACATGGTAATTTTAATTTACCATTACCATGGTAATTTTAATGGTACCTTGGGTACCTAGTGCCATCTAAAGCCCGAAACTTCTAAAAGGTGATGATGAAGAACACACGCTGATGCGACAGTTTGAAAGTGATCTTTATCAATATTTATGTGGTAACAGTTGAATCCTGGTATCAGACAGATTCTCCTCGAAATCAAAATCAAATTGAACCACCTACTCCAAGAATTTTCCAACATGCACATCAGTTTGAATGCCTTTGGAAAAGGACTTTGGATACAAAATTTATTGGATCAAACAGAATTAAAATAGAGTAAACAACACTGAGTTCACTCTCGTAGTAGATTTCCCAAGGTGAAATCCCACAGATATACATTGATAATTATGTAAAAGTAGGTCTAAACTGCTAACATTATGCACAATAAAACTTAATGCGAAATAAAGTAATTACACTCTTATTCACAGCCCACTAAAGTTGTCAACCAACAAAGGGGATACTCGTAATTAATGGGTAATTAAATTCTATAACAATATTAGTTTGCCCATACACGGGAGTTGCTGATGGTCCGAAGAAATATCAATTTGATAAGTTAATAACAAATAAATTGTAGCACCTGCTTGCCGTGAGGACATCTGTTGAATAACACTTTAATATCACATTATTAATAATTGAAGTTTAATTTATATTTTATGTGGGTGTAAGCTTAGTTTATACTAAAGCTTCTAAATCACTTGCCTTAGCCTACCTACATCATATTAAACTGTGTATAATATTTTTCTCTTCTGATTAATGTTGTTTTGAATATTTTTAAGTCGCTGAATTCAACATATAACGGAAAGTAACGAGGCATTTAATTTTAAATTTCGAATTGACTAATTTAGTCTGTATTACGATTTCAGCTGCTGAACCAATGTTGATGAATTTTGGCATAACGTGTGGCTAGGAGAAGAATCTGCCTTAAAATGTCTAAATGTAAGAAATTTAGGAATTCTATGTATATATTTCCTAGGAATTGTATTAAATGACGGATTTCATACATTTCCTGTAACCTAGACATCAGTATTTTTACAGGGGCGTATCTATGATACAGGGCCTCCGGCTTACAGAGACTCCAGGGCCGGACTTTTTCAGATTAGTCAGAGTAAGCAAGAGCTGCCTAGGGATGATCTGTAATTTTGCAATGACTTTTTTATAGATAAAGCCCCCAACAAATTTTGATTCAGGGCCCGTCTAATTAAAGCACGCTACGCACCTACGCCCTACGCCCCACTGACTTCTTCCCTATGATCATGTAAAACATTATCGAAAATGTAGCCTCTACTTACTATTAAATACTCTACTATTAAAGCACCTTTATAATAGCAGACCACCTACATTTCAACACGTAAAAGTATTAAACTGTACACGAATTACCTGCATCCTAACTAACCTCAACGAATTTCGCAGCTTGTTCTCCGACCAGAGTACAAGTTGTGAAATTGCCCCAATAGATATAGTGCAGAATAGTTTCCAATTTGTTCCTCGCCGCAATACACACATACCTTGTTACTTGTACGTACCACGTACTGCGGTTTGGTCTAGGCCAGTGGTTCTCAACATTGATAGCCTCTTTGTAGAGGTGTTCTCTGATCATTTTCGATTGCGTTTTGGCAACTGACTGTAAAGACCCATTTCCATATTAACCAAAGTTAACTCCTATTGGTGCAATGGTATGTTCCCTATATTGTTTCTTTATGATAATAAAAATTAAAATTAAAAATCTTTACTTTGAGACCAATATTTGGCACTTATGAACGTCAAAATAAGGTCGGATAAGAATGAATTTACTTCAATCTTAACTACAGTGCTTAAATTTTATTTTTTTTAATTTGCATTATGGAGTGAGTAAATAATAAGCATATTAATTAAAATGTAATTTAATGTAACAAAAATATTATAATTAGAATGTAAAATAACATCGGAAAAAAATCAAAAGTGGGGTTTATGTACCTAAGTTCTAAGTTGAGTATTTCTGTTGAGAACCTTCAACGTACTTTATCTTCTGTTTTTTATTATTTTATCATCGCATTGAATTATTACAGCCACAAATTTGCATAAACGATGTAGGCCGCATGCATAAAACATGACTTGGTTTGGCTACGACACTGGCAACTCGCCATCTTGGATTTCTGATTGTTGGCGCCAATTTCGTTCTATTGAAATTCAAATTCTTATTATAAAAACACCGGAAATGGGAAAAATCTAGAGAGTAAAATATTGCTAATTTTATTTTATTATTTTGCGATAGATTTTTTCCTTGCAAATACAAAGTTTCATTTTTGTAAGATGTGCGAATGTTGATTGATTATTTATGAATGGAGTGAGTTTTTTTTTTCACTCTATTTTCCTCTTAAGTTGGTATTATTGAAGACATTGTCTTCTGTGACCACAAGACAGCAGCCAGTATTATATTTAAAGAACTTTTTTGTTTATTTTAACTTGTATCATCTTTAATATGTACTTATTTATCAAAATAATATAGCAGGCCTTACACAAAACCTCGACGTCTCTTTTGTGAACTTACTACATTAAAGTAAATAAAAAAATACGCGTGAAAGGAGATTTATGAGATTTAGTTAGAATAACATGTCGGCAAAGCAAACCGAGCGTTTGAAATTATTCTAAAATGCAATGAAACACTCGCATAAATCGCACACGTTTGACATCCACCTGTTATTTATTGTTTTGTCTTCATTTTTCGATATCTTTTAACGTTATTCCAATTCGTTTTCAGTTCCATTTGTGTACAAATGAAAATGAGCCTTTGTTGTTTTGGTGGTACAGACAGTACATCAAGCTAAACTCTAGGGCATCTTAAGTAAAGGTATTTTGTAACAAAAAAGTAACCTTTAGTTCACTCCAATAAAAAGTAAATGTAAGTATAAATAAATGATATTATGATAAACATTGATTCAAACAGAGTTTCATTTTGCTATGAAAGATGTGTTTCCTCAAATGATTAGTTGCACAGACAGCTCGGTTTTGATGTTATTCGACTTTTTTTAAAATAAACTAAACAGTTTAAGTTAGAAAAATTACAAAGTTTTATTGGGGCTGACTATACATAGTTCTATGTGCTGTCGACAGTATATAGAAGAAGGTCCTTTATAAAAATAATTTCACCTTCAATTGTAATTTCTCCCGCATTTAAAATTTCCATTTTATATCCTTCTCTGTTTATTGTAAAATAAACTGAAGTATTTTTAATTATTCCCCTGTCGGCTGGAAGGTTTATGTGCGCAGTGAGGTCGCCAGCCTGAGGGCAGGTCCGCTCCTCAAATTGCTTAAAGACAATACGCTGAGTTATGACGAACTGCTGACGTAAGAGTTAGGCATTGATGGGTTATTAATTATTTCACTAAAACAGTTTATAAGATAGAGTCAATCAAAAAATAAATTGAAGGTGTGTTGAGGAAATTTTCCGGAAATGAAAATGAGGAAAAAAGGTAAGTTGCAGTTTTCCTCAAATTACTTAAAGNAAGGGTTCGGACAAACCAACGCGATCACACCGCGATCAGCCGGCGTGCAGCGATGGCGACCAGACCTAAATGCATTGATCGCCATCGCTGCACGCCGGTTGATCGCGTTGGTTTGGCCGAACCTTTACTTAAAGAGTTAGGCACTGATAGATTATTAATTATTTCCTTTAAACAGTTTACAGAATGAAGTTTTGAAAATAACAATGTAAGGTTTTTAGGCAATTTTCCTGAAATAAAAATGAGGAAATATAACTTGCAGTTTGTTGTTCAATTATGTACCCACCAAAGTGGGTGACACATATTATACACTAATTTTGATATTTAGCATAGAGTTGTTTTAAATAACTAAACAAAAATTTATTCTTATTTCACGAGTAAAATAATGTGAAAATAATTGCTATTAGTAAATTTTAAGGTCATCAGATATACCTTACATTAAAACACAGGTGTAGCTACTGCCTAAGACACAGCCTGTTTTACATAAACATTAATTAATAAAGTAAATAAATTAATAGAAAGAATTATTGTTGACGACTTGACATTCAATCTTGATTGATGGCATGGCTTCCATAACGGATTTGAAAAGTAAATTAATAGTGTTTGTTTATTTTATTACACCCCAGACCTTTATAACTACAGTTTATAACTTACAACTTGATGCTAATTCTTCATTGTGCCAGCTGGAGCATGCCTATATCTTTCTTTCAGTTTTCCAAAAGAGAGTGATAATTTATTTAGCAATATATTTGTATTTACAAATTGTTAATATTCTTTTATTCGTAAAAAGTTCATATTGTAACTGGCCAAAGTTTTCCAATTAATTCTATAAAAAATAAGTGAGTTTATGCCAACGTTTGTTAATAAAAATTTAGTATTTATTTGGTACCCACTACTGAAATTGACCGTTCAATTTAGCCATCTATTGGTTAAATCAGATCTTAATTCACTCCCTTTCAATTTCACTTAACTGCTGAACACTGGTAGGAAATATACACTCATAAACAACAAAAACAAACTCGTCAAAACAATTTGAATTAGGAACGTAAACTAACGCCATAATGGCGGCCGACGACAAGCGGAAATGACGTCACTCACTAAATGTCACTCGCTCTACTCATCGAATTTCTGCCGGAACTATTAAAGGTTAGCTTCGTTTTTTCCTTTCCGATATCGAATTGTAGTTATTTTTATAAAAGCAAATGAAAAGAAACAGTATTTAAAATTATTTAACATTGCGTTGTAAAAAAAACCATCGAAAATTCTGATATTTTTTTTACCAGCCGTTTATTTGTTCAGTTGTAAAAATGACAGCGATTTGTCTCTTTCTTGGTTATTATGATAAGAGGCCATATAATTTTAAACAACACAGTACATAAGTACAAAATTCTAGTATATTTAACTATTGGACACTAGAAAGATGCCCTATTCTGGGAAAATCCCGCATTTCTCGGACTTATAGCAACACTACCTGCGTCTCTACCATAACCCTTACATGCTAATTTGGATTAGATACTTTTCATTCGTAACGTTCGTCATAGCTAACAGTCTCTGGATTTTGGAAACCAACCCTTTTCATGCAATGACTTTTAAAGAACTTAGTACATTGCTCATATCCGCTGTATCAGTAGTGCCAACAGGATGAGCACTTAGCAACAGCTGTTTTTGAGTTCCAACGGTAAATATTTATACAAAAAAGTGATAGATCCCCAAAAGTAAACTAAATTGAACCATTAAGCCTGCGGAAGTCGTAAGTGAACCGTTTTCCGCTAAAGCCTGCCCTGCGACAGAAAATTGTTTATTTTTTATAAAAATATTGGCGCCATATAATTTAACAATATTATTATGGCCTTTTTGATGTTGCCCATAGAGAAAATTGTGGGTAATTGAGGGTATCTAAACTTTCTATGTGGTGGCCCTTTTTTGTAAGTTCCGGCAGTTAATTTTTTCAATGTGACCTACACTTATACCTATTATCTTCTAAAATAAAAGATTAAAATGCAATAAGTTAGCAGTATGTCCGTCCCTTTTTTCCAATATTTATTTCTGTCACTTTACAATGCACTTAGAATTCTAGGCAATTTGCAACTTTGATTTTGTGAATTTCCAAAACCTTAATTGCCTCAAAGTCCGTTCATCTTCTTGATGAGTATAATAATCGTGTTGTATTTTACTGATTAGGAAGTACGTGACAAAAGTTTCAAAATCTTGTCATTAATATGTGTTTCAAAGACAATATTTGTAGGACTACAAGACGACAAAAAGCTTCCTGGTTTCTAGAACAGGGAAAGCAATTTTCTCAAGCCAATGGCGTCTCACAATAATATTAAAGGATTAAACCTGCAAATAATATTTTGTTTATTTGCAAATAACGAGTGCAAGGAATCGCAAGCTTAAAATTCATGAGCTTTCAAACGCCCTGACGTCTAGCTTTTACGGCGACAACAAACAATGTATTTTATGTTCTAAACAGTAAAGTAACAATTGCCACGTAAAACAAATACCCGGCACATAATGAGTATATCGCAGTTTATAACAATAGATGAAGAGGAAGAGAAAAACAACGTGTGAAAAATAGCGAGCTATCAGTTTTAATTCAGTTTGAAAACCTATGATTTGATTACATAACCAATACTAACAAGATCCTGCAAAAAACCGTTTTATCCAATGAAATTGTCATTCTCTATGAGCACATGACATCCGAAGGCTGTGTGGCTCAAGAGAGTTACACCCGTATTCACAAACGATGTTTGCTTTAGTGAAGCAGCAAATCGAACGCACAGCGTTGAATGGAGCTCTGTGATTGGTTCATGTGTCACCCTGTGTGTCCATGCGCACTTTGAGACCTCATAGTAATGTTTGTGAATACAGGCGTTATAAGTAGACGAGTTTAAGTTTAGGTATAAAAATGTAGAGTTTATAAAAATGTTTACAGAATCATTTTGTAGCCTCAAGCAACATCTTTGAGCGAGTACCCAGAGATAGACTTTAACATAAATTTCATCATCAAGGTAGTGTGTGAAACGAAGAACTTAAATATTGTGTGCTTTACTGGCTGCGATAAGTAGAGCGAAGATAGGTGTTATTATGTGCACCTCTGCAGCTTACTTCTCTCCCTGTATTAAACGGACCAGAAAACTTTATGCACCAAATATATCCTTCATTTGTTTCTCTGTACGATATACATAGTACATATGTAAGTGTGTTATATCGATTGTCTGGTATCCTATGAGAACTTTGCTTAAAGCGGGAGATTAGGCTCGATGGCGTTCATTGGGATGGTTGATTGTTGATTTATTCGTTCCTTAGAGCTATCTTAAACATATACTACGCCTTACTCTAAGTAACATGCGGGTTGCAAACCAACAGCTATACAAAGTTAGTTTAGCTTCTAGCACGTGGAGAAGGAACTTGTCCAGGATCGGCTTACACTAAGCAACAAGGTGAGCACTTACCTAAAGAAGTCGTTCCTACAGAACAATTTGTTGTCCCTAGAATAGCACTTGTCGGCCAGCGGCGCGCGGCAGTCGGCGCAGCGGACGCACGCCGCGTGCCATGCGCGCTCCAGCACGTGGAGAAGGAACTTCTCCAGGATCAGCTTAGACTTAGTAACAAGATGCGCTCACTTACCTAAAAAAGTCGTTCCTACAGAACAATTTGTTGTCCCTAAAATAGCACTTGTCGGCCAGCGGCGCGCGGCAGTCGGCGCAGCGGACGCACGCCGCGTGCCACGCGCGCTCCAGCACGTGGAGAAGGAACTTCTCCAGGATCAGCTTAGACTTAGTAACAAGATGCGCTCACTTACCTAAAAAAGTCGTTCCTACAGAACAATTTGTTGTCCCTAGAATAGCACTTGTCGGCCAGCGGCGCGCGGCAGTCGGCGCAGCGGACGCACGCCGCGTGCCACGCGCGCTCCAGCACGTGGAGGAGGAATTTGTCCAGGATCGGCTTCTCGCAGCCGGCGCACGCCATCGCGCCGCCTGCCTCGCCACGTCCTGGTGAAGAAGGGATTGGTTGAGGACTTTTTGGATGAAAAACATCCTAACCTAAAGCGATTATCCCACTGCACCGCATTCCACCGCTGCACGCGCTGTCCGTGGGGCGACAGATAACGCGCGCGTGTTTTCTATACAGCAGGACAGGACCCAGTGGGCGTAGTGTGAGTTTACATATGAAAATTTTAGTTCTTGAAAGTTTCCGCTAGGGGCGCTGTATAATCCGTCATACATCCCACTTGTTACTAGCGTTCTTTTAAAAGGCGCACTGTCAATGTCACTTTTTACGCGCTCAGTAGTAACGACGTTTGATGTAAACTCACACTAAGCCCTCAGGCCCAGATCTGCGACACCATGCGGAGCAGCATTGTACTGCGGATGCCGCGCAACGCGACGGAGCGCGGTGCAATGTACCTAGTAATCGCCTTACCCTAACTTTTTTCAGTTCCTCGGGAGCCTACTTAGTTAAATTAATTAATTACTCTGTACTGTACAAGGATTTACCTGGTTGATTGGAAAAAGGCGACCACGAACCTTATAAAAGCTTCTAAGGGGCCTAGTGCTCTACAGGTAATTTGAAAGGGCAGCTGATTGTAAAAATCTGCTTCTTTTTAAGATCCGAGGATGCCTAGCGCTCATCATCTTTACAGAAAATTAGTCAGCAATTTTCCATTATCACAAGGCCATTAATATATCTAGTGCCTGACTACCTCCACAAAAAAGGTATGGTGGTGAGTAGAAGTGGCGGAAGAAACTTTTGAGTGCCGCTATTATGTGAGAGGCGACCCAAACCGTTGGTATATTATTGTCACCTCATAATTCCTATTTGTTAACATGACTGCTTATTTGTAAAGGTATACGGTCTAAACACGTAGTGTAAAGCGTCTAAAGAAGTGAGATTTACATTTAATTTTATATGTCATAAAGTAGATATTCATAGATATTGGAATAGGTTGAGATCCTTTAACAAAGTTATACACCAACGTTACTTCCACCTTTATAGGACAAAATATTAATAAACTGTTATTTATTTACTAACGTTTTGATGTCCGCCATATTGAAACCAAGCGCAGGTTACAGGTTCAAAACTGCCTACATGCTCATGCGCNGCATGCGCAATCGTAAAGTCTAGGCCGCGCCTAGAATGCACTGAGAAAACCACGCACCACTCGAATCTCAGCTCTATTTGTACATTATTAAAGACTAAAATATATGTAACTGTTATTAGCTACAATAATGAGTATTCGGTAATAATAGACTCAGGATTCAGACTTGAATGAATCTTGCAAACTAAGCCTTAGTTCTCTACAATACCTCAGTCCGTCATAAAGCTGGTAGCAACGAACAGCTAGAAAACATAATGGGATTAAGTTTTACGATCGATAAAGCTAAGGTTGAATAAAGTTTTATTAGCATATGTTATTACCGGGCAACGCGTAACGAGTGTGTGAAATAAACGTAGCGTATTCCAAAATTTTAAGATCTATGTAAAAGACAAAATGATCAAATTAAAACTAAACATAAAAGCCCTACTAATTATCGTGCTTGTGGTCCAAAAGCTATGGTTAACACAAGACTTGACATATTTATTTTAAGGTCAGACGCATATGGCACAAATAAACTTCAAAAATCGACCAAAAAATATGCACAGAAGAAACGCAACGCTCAATAACATTTTTAATTGTAAGATTTATTTATCCATCAATTTTACGCTCGCCGAAAAATTTTGACACCTCACAAGCGCTTTCAAAAAAACACCGTATGTCAACTGAAACCCTTCTAACAATCCGAATGCATTTTTTTGGACGCGCGCGTTTTGAGCTTATGACATTTATTGGCTAAATTTATGAAGGTCGCCGCGGCGGTTAAGTTTAATATTCCATATTCAAATCTGAATGTCCGATTGGTCGCGCGCCATTTCAGCCTGCGTTCAGAAATCGGTCTGTGACGACGATTTACTGCGGTTGGCATGCAGTGGTGCGTATGATTTTTAAAAGTTGCCCGCTGTCACGCTGTTTAGGGCTGTGGATTTTTTAAATAAAAATAATGAGCTGACAGTGGTATCTCTTTTAGACTGAGTCAGCTCTTGCGGAATTTTAAATATGGCCGTTGATTGTCACTATTTTTACTTGTCACGTCAATTTAATAAACCTAGCCTTACTTAACTCACTAAGCGTCCCGCCCCGGTTTCATGCGGGTATAATGTAATATTCGTATAAACCTTCCTCTTGAATCCCTCTATCTATTGCTGAAAACTGCAATAAAATCCGTTGCGTAGTTTTAAAAGATCTAAGAACAGACAACGGGAACGCATTTGTTTTATACTATGAGATGATCTAATACTTATTACATTAACTAGTTACTAAAGATATTTGTAAGTTGGTGTTTTGTACGGTTATCTATTTTATCTACCTATCTTGTTTCTAATTGAAATTAGTAAATTGGTTTAAAAAAAACTCCATTGAGAATATCATACACCAGACAATTCTCTAAAAAAATCTCCGTAAAACGTTATAAAATTTAAGGTGACCGGGTAAGCTGTTGATTGTTAAAATATGGTTTCATTCAAGTAAACATCAATTTAGGTGCAAATCAGACATTGTGTGCAAACGAAATGTCGCATCAAGTTCATTGCTTCCAAGACACACTGCACTAATATCAACAGCCATTAATTTTATTCGCAAGGATAATTCAATTGTGTCACAGTGTAACAAATTGACGGTAAACTAAGTGATTAATTATATCTAAGTGTTATAACTCACATTGAACGTGGATAATCAAGCCATTTTATCCAATAAATTTTCTTAATGTTTGTTACCTTTGAAGATTACTCAGAAAAACTGTACCTACGTTTATCAACAGACAAAAATACTTTATTTTTATGTAACACAAAGATACAATTTATATTTTAAACAAATTATTTCTTTCGAAAGTAGAATTAACACTATTATATCCTTGTGTTTCATATTTTTGTTCAATAAATTTTTAATTCAAAATTAATTAAATTTCTAACTTTGTTGGTGCAAAATATTGCTAAAATAGGGTCTTTTAACTTTTCCGTAATAATCGGGTAAAAAATCTGTACCTAACAGGTAAACAAATTTATCAATAGAGAGAGTACCTTCATCTATCACCATTCAACGATGACTAAAAGCAGAGGTAGATATTAGGTAGGTACCTATGCTAAGGCGAAGTTTAAAAAAGCCTACTGTCAAAATTCAACGAAGTGGAAAAAATATTTATAACTGTAAACGTCTAATCATCAAAAAGGTGTTTCGTAAAAGAGATTAAATGCCACCTTGTAGTGGTTGCTGCACTTAATATTATAATACCTATAATCCGTTCGCCGGACTTAAGCAGGATTAGAGTAAGTTGTTCTTCGGCAATCCCATTTCATGTTTACATTTGTCACATGAGTATTTAAGTGTTGAGAAGTTATAATAATGTCATCAATATAAGTCATAAAATTATTTACAATGTTATTACCTACATCCAAATGGAAAACATTGGAAAAAGGGGAATGTAGAACCATTGGACGCCGCACAAATAAATTTCCACGTCTAAATATTAATAAGAACGGACATGGTCATGAAAATTTGGAAAAATAGATACTGACGGAATTCTTATACAGTAACTATTAAATTATAATTATTTTAAAATATGCTAACAACTTTATTGAATGATTACATAATTATTTTTCTTATCACCAAAGTTTTAAGGTCTTCCTTAGAGTCGACTTCATTTTATTTATTTTTTATTTTTAACATAAAATTATATTATTATTAACATGTGTATATGGAGACTACAATACAATCTAATTGTCAATTTTCCCACAATAGTGCGGTCTGACTACGGTGATTAAATTACATTTTAACGCAAAAACTGCAGTCTTTTGTCATTCAATTACTGGAAACCACTAAAACGATTTACACGCACGTCCTAGGATCCGGGCCCGCTAATAAGCAAGCTCTACTTATTATTCTACCACAAACGGGTGTTACTTTATAACATTGTCGGATTTTTTATCACCTCTGATAGTTAAAACTGCCGCATCAATGGTAATTTACATATTGTAAGAGCCTACATGATATTATCTTCGGTAGAAAAAATATTCAAATTAATTAATACGTAGAGTGACAAAGTAAACCTAACTCGTGTTATGTGATAGTGTATTGTGTGCTTACACTTTCTTTATAAATCACATAGACTGACTAGCTATGTTAGTTGTACAATTTTAAAATAAGTACTTCTTGCTTGTATGTATCTACATTTCAGGAAATGTCATGTACTCTGAAAGTTAAACATTTTAAAAGATTTTCAGAATTAAGTAGGTATTTTTATGATAGTTAGTACCTCACACTAACCTGATAATTATTGTTTTATTTTCCTCTCATAAAATTAGTAGTTCAAGTTGTAGGTAATTATTATTGAAATAATTGTAATAAATGATTTCATTTGATTTGTGTAGATTATGTTACACGTCCAATTCCGCGTAAAAGTTTTTCGTAATTTTAGGCACGCGCCCAATCATTTTTTCTTTTGTTATTCATTGTTTCGCAAACCATTGAATTAAAGACAAAAGAAACAAACACCCAACTTTTTTTGAGATTAAAGAGACGAAAATTCAGAAAAAATAATTATGACCCATTGGTTTTTGTCACAGGTATTGTTGTTTTATAATACCTTACTTTTTTCTTTATTGTTGTGGTTTACCACCTTGCTTTCTACTTTTGTGGTGGTCTTTTTTACTGTACTTACTTTCTGGCTAGATTAACTTTACAATAATGCAATTTAGCTATCGATAAATTTGGTTTGTGTAATAGATTATTTAATTATTTTTATCACAGTTTGGGCCCTATTTATTAGGGATGGATATATTCGTATTTATGTATTTCTGAAGTTGGTACTAAGCTCATGTATCTTTCATAACTTATACCATTAAATCGTTATTTGTGTGTAGATAGATACTGTTTGTTTCGTTTACTATTTTAGTAATAATACTTGTAAAGATTAAGCCAAGGGAGAACTCGATGTCTTATTTGTTGTGGTATATGGTACTATTTTTCTATGCATTATGAAATAACTTTTTAGAAAATGCATGAGGTTTTCATATAACGCCGTCTTTATACAAAATCTTAATTATAACTTTAGGCCTATTTTCAAATTACTATCCAGGCGAAGATCTACTGAAATCATGTTGTCATTAATGATAACTACCCAGAATCTGTAACTTTTTTCAGGGAAAATTACCATTGTATGTTATGTAGAGTTGATGTTTGGATGGTTATTTTGTTCTCAGTATATTTTGGTAGAGCTAAGGTACCTGCTTGTATCTTTTACCTAGTCTCTATTGTTATTAAAGTTATACACTTGAAAACTTTTTTAGAATTTCAAAGGAAAAGAATAGAATGGAAAAATTGATAGAGATTTCAGTTGGCATACAAAGTTATAATGGTAAATAAACCCAACTGGTCAACCAAATCTTTTGATCAATATACATAGCTTTCGAATACATAAATACACATAAAACAATAAACAAAAACAATAAATAACCTCCATATGTCCGCATCGTCAAGCACATACACAGTTCCACGCAACCATAGACAGAAAATGGTCCTCTCAGATATCACAGGACACTAACTTTTACCAATGTGGTGTTGGTGGAAGGGGGCATGGGCCCCCCGTCCTGAGGCAAGGAAACCCGCCACTTCGGCACCTCTACACGGCACTGCACTAGACACACCGCGGGCTCGCGCGCCGCACAACGCACCTACATGCGCGACGACTAAACGCGTACTGCCTAAAAAGCTGCAGTTTTCAAACGCCACCACGCGAATGACAGAGACGCAGATATATGTAGAGCGAGAACGCAAGCGAGACGGAAAGGGTAGCGCTCTCGATCGGGCGTGGCTCTACCGAGCAGCCACTAGCGACCGAGGGGTGGCGCCAGCGCTTGTTTTTTCTGCGTCTTTTTTCGTGCGTGTTTCTGTGCGGTAGTGGGATTTCATTTTGTGGGACACGTGCGGTGTTCGCAGTAAATTTAAATTGGCTTGCCGGTAGATCGGGTGGTAGCTGAACATAATTATAGAGCCTGGATTTTTCGGTTGCGTCTCTAGCTTGGCCGGGTGTCTTATTTTATGGTTTGGCTCGGCGAGGCTGTTTTGACTGGGGGCGTGTGCAGGCTATGTTTATGTAGACACTTGCCCGCCTTCGAGACGTACGTTATTCTTGGCTTTTCGTTTTCTTTATTGCCGTGATAATTCCGGTACTACTGCCGAGCTAGAATTTGCTTGCGTTTGTGGGTAGATAATTACTTTTATGAGTAACTCAGGAACGGTTTTATCATCTCGGTGTGCTTATCTTCACACAACGTTGTTATTTTATATGTCATACGTTAATTATTAATTTCTAGAGACGTTTTATTCAACACGAAACTTAAATTTCATTTGTTTGCTTACTTATTATACGATAACTACTGGTTTTGGTAGTGCCTAATACTGAAATGGAATTATGATACAGGTTCGTCATATTTTTTTCCTAATAAATATCTCGGTTTCTAAAAGTTAAACTAATCCCCTATAAACTGAAATATTATCTTTTTTTTCTATTCGTATTTACCTAAATAGGTAAGTATCATAATAGACCTGAAATTCTTGGAATAGCACAAAAACTCACGATAGACAGTGCCTGAAAATGTAGAGTCATCAAAGACGAAAATTGTGTTACTAAGTTATAATATTTTATACAAACTCTATGCACGAGTAAATAGCCACATTATATCTTTATCATAATCGTGATCACGAAATAATATACATATGTATATGTATACCTAATCGCATAACCATTAGAGGCACTACGAATATCTACTTCTCATAAACAAGACTAAAGATTAGGATGCTAATCGAGTGAGACGTACGAGATATTCAAATCTAATTAATTATACTTCCATAAACTTATTACAGACGACGAACCTAACGAATCAGAAATGAGATCCGTAAACGAACTAAAGTCGCTGACATAGCCCAACGGATTAGCAAGCTGAAGTGGCAATGGGCAGGGCACATTAGTACGCAAAACTGATGGTCGATGCGGCAGCAAGGTTCTGGAGTGGTGGTTGCGTACCTGAAAACGCAGCGTGGACGTCAGCAAGGCGCTGGACGCAGGCCGCTGCCAACCGGGCAACATGGAATGTGGCATTGGCAAAAACTTATTGAATACAAATATTTATTTAATCATTAATTAAAACTTCAACATTAACTTGCAAAAAGGAAATGTTTTTCTTTTCACAGGATAAAAGATCGCCAAAATTGTAGAGTCTCGAAAGAAAAGTACAAGTTTTACACTAAGTAGAACAAAATCCAACAATTTTGACGAATTCTCTGTTATTATCTCTACAAATAAATATTTGTGATGTATGATTAAATTAATATTTGTATTCAAATAGTTTAGGTAGTAGACAGGAATTTAATTCATGGGTAATAAGTACTAAAAAAGTATTTTCAGGAAAGTGCAAATCTAAAAAAGCTGAGGAGTTTGTATGTTTCGTTGAATACACTCAATTCAGGAACTAAGTTAGGCTGGTTCGAATTGAAAAAAATATTGTTGTGTTAGATAGTCCATTTATCAAGGAAGGCCAAATATGAGCGGAGTATCAATGAAAAATGTTAAAAAAACTGGAAAATTACTCAAACCATTTTCACGCGTACGAAGTCGCGGGTACCGACCTTATTATAATAATGGTCGCTATATAAGGACACCTACCGAATATAGCGACCTTTATTTCGACACAGCCAAAGAATAAAAAAACATTCGTCGAGTCTGCATAAAATTGATTGCTGTGTTAACATACCAAACAAATATTTGCCCCGGGCTAAAACGGTGACCAACGCATGAGAACTTTTGAACACAAACATCAACTAAGAACTTGAAACCATTAATTAAAAACATGATACGCCTCGTTCACAAGGAACAACATCTTTGATGACCGAAAACTAAGCTGAGGTAATTTACTCGTAGCTCGCATAACTGACGAAGTTTTCCATAAGTTTTTCAGACTGAAAACTATGCAAACACTATGGAAAACTGCGTCAGCTATGCCAAACTATCGTAGGGTGGANTGGAAGCAGCTTTTGCCGCCGAGTCTGCCTCTTCATTACCCTCGAATCCAGCGTGGGCTTTAATCCACGCGAATTCGACGGTGCATCCAGATGAACGGCCTTGATGAAGTAGCCGGTGGATTTTTACAGTGAAGCGGTTATAGCTGCTTCCATTTTGCAACTCAGTAAGACCAGACTTGCTGTCCGAGACTATGAGGACTTGTGAGAGCTTGTGGTCAATAATGTGTTTACAGGCCATTTCAATTGCTAGCATTTCCGCCTGGAATACTGAGCAGTCGCTGTGAAGCTTAAACTTCCTGGTTACTGAAGGTCGTGTATTGGTAGGGTCTTTAACAACAAATGCTGCTCCAACATTACCGTTAATCTTGCTTCCATCTGTAAATATGAGACGGGTACAATTGGCGCTCGCCTGAGTCAGATCGGTTGCGGATGTGATTTCCGCGAATTGTATACCAATCCTCTTAGACGGGTGGAGAAGTTTTGATGGAGGACAAGGACTCTCTAAAATAACGTCATGAGGCAAAAAGGAGGTGATTCCAGATAGTTTTGAGGTCTCGATATCAGCGACCATTGCGACCTTTGCGGGTAGCGGGGTCAATTGGGCGATAGATATTGCAGCGCCTGTACTGATGGTTCTAAAGCCTTGAATCATTTTTATTGCGAATAACCTTTGCATGGAGAGAAGACGCTGAGAGATGTACTTATTTTTAAGGGCAGGTTTTGACATATTTCTCATTTTGAAACTGTCAATGTGTCAGTTATACCAGGAGTTATTCTCGGATAAAAGTTTGGTCGAATCGGGCCTTAGCAGCTGGTGGTTACAGACCAAGAGCTACTTGGTCTGTAACCACCATTACGATCAAAGATAGCTATTTCTTAGTTTTTGCAATAATGACTGTAGGTAGAAGTCATAGAGTAGACTTCTTCTACCATGACATGTTGGTTGTGGCAACTCAAGGGTCAACCTTAAGAAACCGCCGTAGTCATCCGACTTGGTTCAATTCTTAACGTGCGAAGCACAGAACCATGTTTTTCTTTTTCAGGTTAATAATGAAATTCTTAGCTCTCAGCTTATAACCTATAACTTTTCACTATCATTCCAATAGACCACAATGGTGTTCAAAAAGGTCACCACCATTCGTCTCTACACTCATGTTCGCGATGGTTAATAAAAGTAGCTGAATTTCACTGACACTTATCCCCAATGGGATTCAAACTCGGTGGTTCACGTAATCGTTAGAAAGAAAGAAAAAAAAAGCTTATTTGGTAGGTACATAAACCATTCGCCATTCAGACTGATTGACTACGTAAGCGTGCAATATTGAACTGCAATGACTCTACATAAATTAATCAAATACCTATTATAATGTCACTTTATTAAACAGCCGTATACCTATAATCTACAAACAAGCCTGTCTGTGGTGTCAGGTAGTACTTAAGTTTTGAGGTAACCACAAACTATTTACAGGTAGACATAATATTTCGTCAACATTGGACTGGTCCAATCTAAGATCACAGACCACACAGATTTATATTGTAGCCAGACAAAAGCAAAATAAGACGTATACGAAATGAACAAGCTACGAAAGCCTTTCTAAAAATATCTACCTACCTAGTACGCAGATTGACTATTTACTACTTGATTTCAGCCATTAGGTGAGTTCTGTTAGTATTATTATAATAGGGAAAGACCAAAAAATATATCTGTCCGTCGCCAGCGACAACAATGTTAGTTAACACTGAGGTTAACACCTTTGTTGCGTTCTAGTAAGAGGTAAGATAGCCAGTTCTTCTGGTTGAGGATGCCGGGTAAAGCTCGCTTCCATTTTCGGCCTGATCATTGCTTTCCATCAGGTGAGATGAAAGGCCGAAAGATTACTCGTTGTGGTCAAAAAAAACTTTTAATATTCTACTTAACAAATTTTTTTTTATGCATAACAAGGCAGGTATTTTCAACAAAATGTAGAATCGGACAATAATGCCTTCTTTTGATGAGCTTTTTCAGGAAGATGTTTAAAATGTTTTGATTATTAAAAAGTAGGTGCATATTAGGTATTCACCAGTTCGATTCTTATACTTTTCCCGAACATTGTATCCCTTCAATCAAAGCATTAAACTTTTTACACTCTAAAAAATTTCATGAAAGATAATTCAATATTTTTTTCTAACTTCTATGGGTAACAAAGACTAACTGTAAACCAGCCATTGAAAGTACCTGAACTCGTATTTTCAGAATCAAACAAAAATTAAGTCAAACCTTTTTGAAAAACGCTTTTTTTTAAAACGCTGCATTTTAAAAGATTCACAAAGAGGCGGAGTTGCCCAAAGACCATTAGCATATTGAATAAGCTACAACCCTAGATAATAATCGATCGATTTGTTTTTTGTTACGGTTGTCTCGTAAATTATTGTTTTTGCATAATAATCAGTGTAATTACACCTGCCCAGGCCACTCGGGCATCGTTAGCGTGCTAGTTTTCACCAATATTTAACAACCAGTTAATACGTGCAAAATTAGCTAACTTTTTCCAACTAAGGCTGAGTTTCACCACTTAACTTTGACCGTAACTTTAACAATAACCGGTGTTTTTTGTATGGAGTTTGACAGATTTATTCGTTTGTCAAAGTTAAAGTAGGTACGATGGTGCAACCCAGCCTAAGTACATGTTTTAGCTCACAACTTAAAAAACAAAGTTTAGTATCTAGTAATTACTTAACGTTAATCAATATTTCAGCTAACATAAACATCTATTTTTGAAGAGCTCTATAGATTCAATTCTATCAAGAACTACAGTCAAGAACTATAGTTTTAGATATAAGTACCATAGATAGGAGAGGTTTGCAACAAAGGCATGAAAGTAACTCAAAAAGTTGTTACATACGTTATCACG